ATCAATCAACCATGGTTAGCACTGTGAGACCTAAACAAAGTGGAGACTGGGGTGGCAGTGAAATCAAGAAGGAAGATAAAAAGGATTTGATTTGTGACTACTATAAGAAGCCTAAACACACAAGAGATACTTGCTGGAAGCTTCATCCTCATCTGGTGCCGAATAGATTAAAAAAAAAGAAGGGAAATGCTCACATGGAAGTCACTGGTGACATACCAGCCCCTCCCACTACAGCTACTCTAGAGTCTGTTGCAACTGCTGCAGTGAGGGCCGAACTTGAGAGATATGGGCAGTTCCTGAATCAGCGGGATACAATCAGTTCTAATTTAGTAACAAGTGGACAACCAGGTACAGGTGGTTTTGGTGGAGCACATTCTACTTTGCTCACATAGGTAGTTCACATGCCACTACAAATTATGTTTCTACTACAGGTAAGGAGGGACCTCCTTGGGTTATAGATTTTGGAGCCTCAAAGCACATGACCCATAGTTTCACTATCTTTTCCTCTTACTAGCTCTGTTTTGGCAGAGACAATCTCCACAACTGATGGATCTCATGTTCCCATTGCTGGGAAGGGGTCTGTTAAGATTAGTGATTCCATTTCCCTTCCTTCTGTCCTTCATGTTCCTAGATTGAGTACTAACCTGTTAGTAGTTTGACTAAGAACTTGAACTGTTCAGTAATTTTTTCTCCTAGTCATTGTATTTTGCAGGATCTGGATTCAAAGAGGACGATTGGGAGTGGTCGTGAAGTGAATGGAATTTACCTCCTAGATGTGTTTCCTCCTCATCAGGGTCATCATGTCAGCAGGGATAGTGAGTCAGGGTCTATGAGTCAGATTATGCTTTGGCATAATCGTTTAGGTTATTTGTCTTTTTCTTCTTTGAGTTTCTTGTTTCCAAAGCTTTCTGAGTCTGTTAATTTGTCAAGTCTGGAGTGTGAAGGTTGTCAACTTGGAAAACATTGTAAACATTCCTTTAAAGCTAGTAATAAAAGATGTTCATCTCCTTTTGATGTGTGGGGACCTTATCATGTTCCTTCTATGGGTGGTTATCGATATTTTCTCTTATTTGTGGATGATTTYTCTCGATATTCTTGGATTTACTTAATGAGATCCCGAGATGAGGTACCATCCTTGGTAAGGCAATTTCATCAGATGGTGCTAACACAGTTTGGGATACGAATAAAGGTGTTCAGATCAGACAATGCTAGGGAATATTTTGAAAAACATCTTGCTTCGTATCTATTAGAATATGGTGTTGTCCATCAGACAGCTGTTCCTACAGTCCACAGCATAATAGTGTTGCAGAGAGGAAGAACATGCACATTGTTGAGATTGCAAGGAGCATGATGGTCACATCTGCAGTTCCAGTTTGTTTTCGGGGTGATGCAGTTCTCACAACAGTCTTTTTAATTAACAGGGTGCCTTCCCGTATACTTGGATTTAGCACCCCATTCAGTCTCCTTTTTCCTGAGGGGGAGATGTTCTATGTTCCTCTCAGAGTGTTTGGATGTGTTTGCTTTGCACATATTCTTGGTCCTCATCGTTCGAAACTTGACCCCAAAGGCAAAGAAGTGTGCCTTCTTTGGATATGCAGAAAATTAGAAAGGGTATTGCTGCTATGATCCAGTCTCTGGGAGTTGGTATGTTACTATGGATGTCACCTTTTTTGAGTCCACATCCTTCTTCTCGAAGAATCCTTCTTAGGAGGAGTGTTTTGGGGAAGTGAGTGAGTAGTCTATCCCTCTTCCGGTTTCAGTTCCTGTGTCCACTACTGCATCTGATACTCCTATGTCACCTACCTCAGCACCTCCCTTGCATCCTGCTTCTCAGCGTTACTCATGACAGAGACTCCACTGGGAGGTTAATTCAATTGCAGCAGAACTCACATCACTTCCTGTCGGTTCCTTGGATACTCAAGATTCAGCTGACACGGATTCAGGTATTCCTCTTGACCCCTCTACTGTTTCAGTTCCCATTGATTCTACTAATCCCATTACAGATAACCAGGACCTTCCTATTGCTCTCAGAAAAGGGAAGAGAAAGTGTACTGCTCATTGTATTTCACAGTATTTATCCTACAGTGGACTTTCTCCTTCCTACCGTGCTTTTGTTTCCTCTCTTGACTCTGTATCTATACCCAAGGGTGTCAGTGAGGCTCTCTCCAAACCTAAGTGGAAGACAACTATGCAGGAAGAGATGGAAGCCTTAATTAAGAATCAAACATGGGAGATTGTGGATCTACCTGAGGGCAAGGAGATTGTTGGATGCATATGAGTTTACACACTCAAATATAAGGCAGATGGAAGTATAGAAAGGTATAAGGCCAGACTTGTTGCGAAAGGGTACACATAGACCTATGGCATTGATTACTTAGAGACCTTTGCACTAGTTGCAAAGATGACTTCTGTTTGGATACTTCTTTCTCTTGCTACCACATACTCTTGACCCCTATTTCAACTTGATGTAAAGAATGCTTTCCTAAATGGAGATTTGCAAGAGGAAGTGTATATGGATCTTCCTATTGATTTCTACAGTGATGCTGAAAAGGGAAAGGTATGCAGACTTAAGAAGTCACTTTATGGTTTAAAGCAGTCACCCAGAGCATGGTTTGACAGGTTCAGGAAGGCCTTGGTTGCTTTTGGCTACACTCAGACTCAATTTGACCATACCCTGTTTGTGAAGCGGAGGGCATCCTTGGTGTCAGTCCTAATTGTTTATGTGGATGATATTGTTGTCACAGGGAATGACCTAAGTGAGATTGACAGTTTGAAGAAGAATCTACACAGGGAATTTGAAATTAAGGATCTTGGAGAGCTTAGGTACTTCTTGGGGATTGAAGTTGCAAGATCAAAACATGGAATCTTTATTTCTCAAAGGAAGTATGTTCTGGATCTTCTACAAGAAACAGGGAAGCTTGGAACAAAGGCAGTCAGTACTCCTATTGATCAGAATCACAAAATTAATGTATCAGAAGGTGAGCTGGTAAAGGACATTGGGAGATATCAGAGACTTGTGGGGCGTTTGCTGTATTTGTGTATGACAAGGCCAGACATCTCCTATGCAGTGAATGTGGTGAGCCAATACATGCATGCCCCACGAGTCCAGCATAGGGAGGTTGTTGACAGGATTCTTGCTTATCTGAAGGGACACCCAGGCAGAGGCATACTATTTGCTGATTATGGACAGTTGAAGCTAGAGGCTTATACATATGCTGATTGGGCAGGATGCCTTGATGACAGGAGACTTACCTCAGGAGTCTGCACCCTTGTTGGGGGTAACCTAGTCTCGTGGAAAAGCAAGAAACAAACATGGTGGCAAGATCAAGCATAGAAGCAGAATACAGGGCCATGACACATGGAGTTTCAGAACTTTTTTGGATCCATTCCTTGTTAGGAGAGATTGGTGTAAAGGCAGGAGAACCTAAGATGTTGTACTGTGATAATCAGACAACAATTAACATTGCCCATAACCCAGCTCAGCATGACCGGACAATGCACATTGAAGTGGATAGACACTTCATCAGAGAAAGGGTGACTTCTGGGGAAGTTTGTCTCCCATACATTTCTTCTGATCTGCAGCTTGCTGATGTTCTCACAAAAGGTGTTGCAAGAAACAAGTTGGAGCATGATCTACGCAAGTTGGGAATGTTTGACATTTACTCCCAACTTGAGGGGGAGTGTTGAGTTGGAGCATGATCTACGCAAGTTGGGAATGTTTGACATTTACTCCCAACTTGAGGGGGAGTGTTGAGTTGGGCCGATTTCTAGTTATTGGGCCCAGTTATTTATTTCATATTTTTAAGTTGTTAAGTTAGGAAGTTGTTGGGCTTTAGGCCCATTAGTTAATGTTTTTAAGTTGTAACTGTTCAGCTACTTAAGTAGCCGCCCTACTTAAGTATATAATACAAAGAGAGGTTGGCGGCCAGAACTAATTCAATTCTGGTTGACATCCTACTCCTTTTCTTCTCCTATTTTCTTCTCTACTGCTGAAACTCTTCATTTTCTTTTTCTTTCTCTTCACAAGGAATTTATCTAAAACTGCAATCAGTGATTTCTACTATAAATGATAAACTTTTGTACAGTTTTCACTGACCTAAACTAAATAAGAATTTTCGTTTGTAAAATCTTTTAAGCAATTACTCATAATACTAAAATTCTTCTTGGTGCCCTGTGGATTGTACAGAAGCTCTTTGTACATGGGTGTTTATAAAGTTGATATTAATTCAATACTTACTTTTTTCAAAAAAAAATCTGATATGAATATCAGGATAGGGGTGCATACAGACAGGATCATGATCCAATTCTAATTCGAATTTGATCCTATTTCTGGATCCAGATATCCCTCTGTTGGATTTTCGGATTGGATTGGATTGGATTGAGAAATAGGATCCGTTTAATAATTGGATCAAATTTGGATCACCCCTACTGATCCAAAGAATCTGGTACACACATTATTTATAAATATATTATATTGCATTTTTGTAATTTTTATTTTCTATATTATTTATGTTGTTTTGTAAAAAGACATGTATATCCCCATTTTGTTTAAACTATATATGACAAAAATGGTTGAAAAACATGCTTGTGTTTTTTTTCTTTGTATAGACTGCTTTGTTTTTTTCCTGTTAATAATTAAATCAGATTCAGATATCCGGCATTCTTAGCAAATTCGAATTCAAATCAATCTTTGTAAGATCCATCGGATCTTTGTATCAGATGTAGGATTTACATTATTGGATTGGATTCGGATATACCCTGATTTGAATCTGATCCGATGATTCCGATCCACTTGCATCCCTATTTCAGGACATGGTTCTTTAATGACTGGAATTGGGCATAGAACCAGTCATCGGTGCTGTTATAAATCCATAACCAAATGTAATACCTAATTTTTTAATATATTTTCTACCTTTGGTTACTATTCCATAATGTAAATACTTAAGTGATATTATGAATACATCTAAGATGTTGCATGTGTTTCTTGTGATTGGGAGCAGGATTCAGTAACTGTTGTAGGATACCCACTTGGAGGAGACACCATATCAGTGACAAAGGGGGTGGTGTCACGCATAGAGGTTTGATTGGTTACAACTACTATCAGTTTCTATAATGTCTTTTTATTGGTAACTTGTCATTAATTTTATTAATATGTGAGAAAGAATAGTAAGTAAATACAACACAATTGGTGCAGGTAGTACCTAGCACACCCCTACATTGTTTTATGTTCTGCCCACAACCTAACCCTTTGTTTGACCCTTCTCTACATTACATCATTCCATCGCTGTATCCTTGGTTTCCCAAGTTACAAGAAAGAAAAGAAAGATCGCAGAAAAAGAAGAAGAAAGGAGAGAAAGAAGAAAAAGATGAGGAAGAAAGGGTTTAGAATGGGGTGAGATTCAAAATCATCTCACACCCTAATATGTTTTCATTTATACTAATGAGCACAATTACATAAATAACCTCCATTAGGTGCCTCATTACAAATGCATATACAAAGATAAAAATACCCTTCCTCATTCAACACCCCAAAATAATTGATGTCTGCTAGCGCTTTGTCTTGCTAGAATATCAACCACCATACTGTTTTCTGAACTCGGTACCCAAGAAAAGATGGTGTTCAGCTCCATTGCTATATTCCTTTCTTCTCGTACAATGTTTCTATGCTTCCAAGAAATTGGATAATTCTGTTTCAGCCACCCTATTATGAGTCACCCTCCATCATAAAGTCTTTATATGCCAATGATCTCCTCAGCTGTATCAGTTACTATAACGTTGTTACTTATCACTTGGATGTCATGTGCTACTATGATCGGTTGTTTTGCACTTTGAATCTTTAGATTCTTTACCTCATATTTGATGTTATAGTTCTCATGTTTTGCACTTGCACTGCAATCATGTGAATGAAACTCTTATTGATGAACATGGCAAAGTTATATCATAGGGATAAAAGGAGGATTGTTTGGGGTTGGGCCTAACAAGTTAGTGAAAAAAGATCAATCAAAAGAAGACAAGAAGACCGCCTTCAAGAAACAGAGAAGAAGAAATAAAAAATGGTGATAGTTGGGGGGATAGGATTTCTACTGTGTTTCTTGAGGGATGTTGGTCAGGCTCTTTGGTGCTTTTGAGTTGTGGTGTTTCTTATGTTTTTTTTTTTTTCTTTGAAGGGATTTTTTTGGAGGGTTTGTCCTTGTGTGATCAGGGGCTTGTTTCAGTTTTCTTCGGTTTTTTTTTCCTTGGGCTTTCTTTCTCTCAGGTGATTGCTTATTACCTTTCTTGTATTTCTTTTTTCTTTCAATAAAATTCTCTTTTTAACTTCAAAAAAAAGTCTTGATCATATGCACAAAACTACATTTGGAAGAGAGAGTGTGTGTGTAGCTGCAAGCCTGCAACACATGGTGGGAAGGGTAATCCATCTTTACAAGGCTGTTTGTATATGTGCTCTAAGAGAAACATATTCCCTATTTACACTACAATATGAATGGTGGTGATTATCTAGAAGCCTTCATATGGTTATACATCCTAACTTTGCATGGAAACCACTCTTGTATTGATTCTTTACTTTTTTTCCAGAAAGGACAAGTGTACAAGCTGAATACAAGGGGAAAACCTTAAAAGAAAAGGAAGAGAAACATAGAGACCAGTTACTCACCCCTTCTATCAAAAAGAAAAAAAGGAAAAGGAAAAAGAAAAAGAAAAAGAAGAAAAAAGAAACCGAATGGAGGCTTCTAGGTAACATGGCCACCAGGCAGGCACAGCCAACCACAAAAAACTAACCCAATACAATCACCAGAGCAAGAGATGTGACAGACAGCTCAATCCACCACCATTAATTTCTGGTTACTTTTTATTTCCATAGCTTATGATTATATATATTTCACCCTATATACTATGTGGCATTAGTATCCTCTTGACATTAAGGCTCAATGTAGGAGTGATATCTTCTTCCTGTGCAAGACCTATGGTATATGTATTTAGACTTATAAGCACATACAACTTATGGAGTTCATTACTAGTATGTGAAACTTTCATAGTCCATACAAGCTTATATATATGTTATATGGTATAAGGGTGGGGGAATGTACTAGGTTATGGAATAAGTGTTTGCAGAATGTGGTTATATGGCTGAATGGGTTTCATGGAATGGAGAATAATTGTAATGTGATGATTTGTGGGATGAGAATGGTGTGCTTGCGGAATGGATAAGGTGCACTTGTGGTAGGGCTGTCAATGGACTCTGAAAGTTTGATACCCAATTTGACTCTGAATCTGATTTGGATGTTAGAACTTGCATCCAATTAATAATTGGGTCGGATGTGGATTTAACCCTATCTGATCTGATTAAAATCCGAGTCCGAAAAACACTTATTATTTTATGTATATATGTAGTATAATTATGTATGTCTGATTAAAAACTTAATATTTTAATTAATCCAATTAAAAGCTGAATCCGATAAAAACTTATTATTTTATGTATATATGTAGTATAATGTGTATAAAGTTTATAATTGATAATTTAATATTTTATATTTATATACATTTATTATACATATACAAGTTAAAAAATTAGCTTTTAATTTTTGGTTATTTTAAACACAATAAGACAGTTGTGAATTAATCCAAATCTGATCCAAAATCTGACATGATAATCGGATGCAGAAGCAGATGCAGATCTAGAGGTTTGATAATCGGATGTGGATGCTGATGCATCTGGTTCCGATCTGGTTACAGATTTAACTTGTAGAATGAATGGATACATGCAGAACATGTAGAAAGCGCTTACGGAGAAAAGTGCACTCATAGAACAGAATCAACAGAGGGTCCCAATGAACTCAACAAGCTCCATTGATCTGTGGATGGATCAAGTATATCAAAGAACTGATTTGGGTTTATGCCAGGGACTTCAACCATGGAAGCTATCTTTGTTATGAGATGATTAATATAAAAGTTTAGAGAGAAGAAGAGAGATCTTCATATGGTGCTGATTGATTTAGAGAAGACACATGATAGATTCCCTAGATGGTGGATCTTGAAAAAGAAAGGAGTTAAAAATAGGGTATATGGATCATTAAGGACATGTATGAGGGTGCAACAACAATGTTAGAGCACCTATAGGAGAGACATTGGATTTTACAGTCATCATGGGTCTTCACCAAAGTTCAGCACTTCGCCTTTATTTATTTGCAGTTATCATAGATGAATTGACTAAACATATTCAGGAAGAGGTCCTAGAAGTCCCATGGTGCATATTGTTTGCCATAGTTTTTAAGGCACTAAGGTGAGGCTAGGCAATAGAGGGGCGCCTTGTCACCTAGTCACCTTGGTGATGGATTTTTTTAAGTAAAACCATATATCCTAGGGTAGTTCCTTAGGTTCCATAACCATCTTTCCTTAATAATTATCCATAATTTTCATAAGAGAAGTATAATTTTCATGTTTTAAGTTCAGAAAATCAACATTTTATGAGAAGAAAAGGAACAAAGGAAAGAAAATTCAAAAAATATAGGGGCTGAACCCCTACTTTTGTTATAGGAAAAGAAGAAAAGAAAATGTGGAAGAAGAAGATCTGTAAGAAGAAAATGTGTTGATTAGAGAAAATTTTAAGTTCTTCCCTTGCTTATTGGTTTAGGTTCTGAAATCTTTGAGGATTCAACCAAGGATCAAAACTTTGATACGATACGCCCCGTATCGGGTGTATTGTATTGTATCTTTGGCGCCCCAATACACATGTTTACAGGTGTTTTCATGAATCCATTTTTTAAAATAATATATATATATATATATATATATATATTGAAAAATGAAATTGAAAACCAAAGAAATAAAAAAAATAGGGGGAGTATTGTTATAAGTACTAATACACCTCTACCGATACACAGAGGTGTATTGATACTTTGAACCATGGGTTCAATACAGTAGTTAGCAATGTTTGTGTTGATTAAACCCTAACAAATAGGAATATAATAAAAAGAAATTAGTACATAAACACATAAAATGAGTATTCTAGTTTATATAATGCCTATTTTATAATTATAATGTCAAAAAATTAAAAATATAAAAGTATTTTATAACATAGTGCACAAAACTACTTGGCGACTGGGCAAGGTGAGCCTCCAAGGGTGCCTTGTTGCCTAGGTGCCCGCCTTGACAAATATGTTGTTTGCTAATGATGTTTTAATTGATGAAACCAATGAAGGATTAAATGCAAAATTACGTTTATGGGCAAATACCTTAGAATTTAAAAAGTAGGGATAAAATAAAACAAGGGGGAGATTAAGGAGATGAAAAGGGGCATTTGTAAAGGATAGCCAACTCATTGATCAGATTTTAAGTGCAAAAGAGAACCATAATATGATGGTGGCATATTATGGTAAAAAGTGCATGCAAGAAGAACATCAGCAAGAAGGAAACATGGGAGCTGGGTGATGGGGATCAAGTAAAAAGTGCATGCAAGAAGAAAACATGATGGTGGCATAACCATAATATGATGGTCACCCATTGTGACCTGGGTGATGGGGATCAACTTAAGGTGTATCAAAAGAGAACCAAAGCTGCTCCCATGCTTATTTGGCATCATTATGATGATGTGGGGCCCACATGGGAGCTGGATTAGCAATGAATCAACTTGGGAAGACCCTAGAGTCTTCAATCCACCTTAAGATGCTCTTTGTGGTTGGATTTTATGCTAAACAGGACTTATTTGACTTTCTTATATTTCTAGACAGCAAGGGTATTTTTGTAATTTTGCATGTTTAGGGGGTGGGGTGCTTATGTTTGGGAACAGGTCTTAGTCAAGGTTCGAAATTTCAATACGTATTGGGCCGTATCGGCCAATACGTATCCTATTGGGGGCTTCCCGATATGCCCCTATAGGGGGTGTTTTGGGGTTTAACCCAGTTCAGGGGGTAGACAGGCCTTAAACCGACCCCTCTGAACCAGGTTTATAAAAAACTAAAAAAATAGGAGAAATGAGCTTCGATACAGGATATGCCCCTACCGACATATTTTGAACCTTGGTCTTAGTCTAGTAATTTCACTTTGTTTGGCTTTATGTTTGTAATTGTTTGGGGCAGGTTAGTCTAGTCTAGCTAGGGATGCAAACGGATCGGATTGGATCGGATTCGAACCAAGGTATATCTGAATCCGATCCGACACTGTTAATTGCAAATATGATCCGACCCGAAGATCCGATCGGATTTGATAGACATGGATCTGAATTTGAATCCGATCGGGAAGTCAGATATTCGGATCTGATCCGATCTGTTTTGTCTTCTTTAAAGAAATGCAAAAAATACAAGTATTTTTTAATTATTTTCATATATATACATGTTTTTATAAAAAATAAATAATATAAAAATTTTACAAAAATACAATATAAATAATATATTTATAAATAAATAAATAATATATATACATGTATTATATATATATATATATTTATATAAATAAATATATGGCATATATATCGGATCGAGGGGGGAGGGATTGGAATCTTGGATCGGACCATGATCTGATCCATTTGCACCCCTAAGTCTAGCTCCTTTTTGTAAATGACTTGTTGGGCAAGTTAACTTGGAGGGAAAGTTTCTTCCTTTGAAAGCTTCTTTTTATTAAGCTTGTGTGGCTCATTTGAAAACAGTTTTGGCTAATGAACAATGAAGGCTTCTCTATAGAATTTGGTGTGATTGCCAAGTTGGGGGTGTGATTGTCCTCACCCTTAGGTGTGATTGCCTAGGGTTTTCGTCTTATTTCCATCTCTTCTCTTCTTTTTCTGTTAGTACTTTGTTTGTGCTACACATCTAAACCTAAGTTGGTTGCAAGAATAGTGCTGAATCACAAAGATCCTGCATCACTGGGTGACCATCATATTATGGTTGCATACACCTGCCCCTCCCTAGACCCCACATTGGTGGGAGCCTCATGCACTGGGCTGCCCTTTTTTTATTTTTGTTGAATTGAAGTGAAACAATATAATGGATTTCATGCACCATTTGCCTGACACAAAACCAATATATTCAAATGTCTTAAATTTCAGCTTCACAACTGCATGCTTCTCCAAGTTGGTTTATATTTGCAAATAAAATCTGTTTCACATCTAAAAGAAACATGTTCTGCACTTGGATGGAGGTATTTATTTTCAATTAAAGATGCTCCATGCCAAGTTTTTTTTTTATTGGTAACCATGACCTTTTATTAATATGTGAAAAGGAATGGAATACAAATCTCAGAGTACAATATTGGTAATTATGACCTTTTAACATGTCCCAAATGCAGCTGATTACTGTTAACCTCTTGTTTTGATAACACATCTGTCACCCCATATGCAGATCTCAGAGTACATTTAAATTATTTTCTCAGTACAGCATCCAACTTTCCTACTTCATAATGCATCCATATTTCCGTGGGCCAAACCATTCTTCCTTAGCCATCCCATAATATTTACGAGTCTCCTACCAAAAGATTGCTGTATATAAGAGATTTATCCAGTTGATGTCCTTGTAGTACTACCTCAAGCTCAGCTCAGATTGAGTTGCCATATAAGTCCTAAACCCCCCTTATATGTCTCATAACATATAAGTCCTGAATATGTAGCAAGAATGATTCCCTCATAGTTTCTAAACCCCCCTATTCCTGAAAATCTGGGGTTTCCCAGACTGTGTCCATTCAAGTTCAGCTTGATTGTGTTATGAGATAGAGGCTTCCAAGGATGGTTGTGGGAGATTCTTGCTGAGGAAGATGTTGCCACTTGTCAACTTCTGATAATTTAATTGATAGAAAAAGGTTGGAGCACCTCCAAATTTTTAATCCAATATGCTACCTTAATGGCAATTATGGTATTTCATAAAGAACATTGGAGCTACAAAAAAATTCTTTGGTATTCTATAAAGAACATTGGAACTACAACAAACACAACCTCTCTCTCTCTCTCTCTCTTGATTGATCAAGCAATTTATCTTTTCGTGAAGTGTTTCTACATTGTGAAATTGTTTTTTCCAAAAAGCATACAAAGATTTAGCTTGTTCCATTTTGTTCTATCAGGTAACATCATATGCTCATGGAACATCTGACTTGCTAGGAATTCAAATTGATGCAGCAATAAATCCTGGTTTGTGGGTGGCTATATGTGACTATTTCAGGATTATGATCTTTTCTTCCTGTGATTGGTTTCTTCAGACATCAATGTCTTATACTTGTTATATTATAGGAAATAGTGGTGGCCCTGCATTCAATGACCAAGGGGAGTGCATAGGGGTTGCATTTCAGGTAGCTTTCTGTTATACACTCAATGTTCTTGCATAGAGAAAGGGGCAGGTTAAATGATTAACTAAACCAATTACGATAATGTTTTCCTGGTTCCATATATTCACTGAATCTGAAATCGTATAATCAGGGCACCCCATTATCCAATGATAAACATCTTGAATATTACTTGATCCTTATTAGGTTAAAGTAAATGATCCTTGATATATTTCTTGGAAGTCTGTGAATTTTTCTTTTTCTTTTATATTTATATATTATATTTCTGACCAGGCATTCCTTTTAGGTTTTCAGATCTGATGAAGCTGAGAATATTGGATATGTGATACCCACTACTGTTGTGTCTCATTTCTTAGATGACTATGATAGGAATGGAAAATATACTGGTGAGTTGTTTTCTTGAACTAATTTATACACATTTTTTGTGCAGCATGCTGGGTATCCATGCACAACCCAACCATATATGTTATTCTGGATTTTACCTCATGATTTTTATGTCTGGGTTTTTGCATTTAATCTTTCTGTTGTCTCTTCTTGAAGTTTCAGTCTCTCACTCACTCCCTGTACTGGTATTCCATTCTTAAAGTCCAACATATTTGAAACCAATAAGTATTGTTCTTATAGTTTCTTTTGACGAAATACATTCACCATGATAGATGTGATTGATATTTGAATTATTTTGGTCCATGCTTTATCTTGCTTTACCATTCTAATATACAATCATAAAACAAAAGAGAGAGAGGGAGGGAGAGAGACGGAGAGGGAGCAATGTTTTCAAAGGCATGCCTCAGAGAGGTGGAGGAATTGAGGGAGAGAAAGAGAGAAAGATTTGCATGTTTTCTTGCAAATCTCGATAGTGGCTCCAATGCATAATTAGCTTCTAAACTAATAATACCAATGCTCTATTGGTTTTCGACCAATGGTTTAAATCCTTGAAAGATTAAGCTCACTACTTGTTTCCATGTGGTGCCCATGCTCCCATATTCTTTTTTTGAGAAAAATTTAACCAGGATTCATTAAAGGAAGAAGAGGTACATGAGAAGATGTACAAAGCAGGGGAAGAACCCCAACAAATTACAAAAGAGGAAGCTTGTTGCTATACAAATGATCCAAATACACGCCGCATTTTGCTAAGCCATCTGCTGTATGATTGTGTTCCCTAGGAATCCAAACTAATTTTACATTTAAACAGTTCAAAGAGTCCCTAGCCTCTGCCAAATAGTGACTCAGTCTTCAAGGTCCCCCCTCTTTGTCTCTTAACCATTTTATAGTATTTGCTGAATCACCTGCAATGATTAAATTCTGGATTCCCAATTCTTTTTATTTTTCTGATTCCTGTGAGAGCAGCCATCACTTCAGCCTTTGTGGAATCAGAAAAACCAATTGGACCGCTGAAAATCCAACAAATGTTGCCCCTTTCATCCCTTACTATGCTTCCAATACCAGCTAAGCCAGGGTTACCTAAAGCACTTCACTGATGGGGTCGGGACGTCTTAAGGTTGTTTGATGGAGGTGAGGGAAAAACAGAAAGGGGTAAGCATCTCTATTGGGATCATTGACTGGGAGTCCTTTGAACATATCTGAATTAACCGTCCAGAGGTTGAAAAGGTAAGTAATGTCTGAAATTAACTCCTCCAGGGGCCTGAATTTGTTGTCAAAGAGAGGTTTGTTTCTTTCATCCCAAACTCCCCACAAGACCGCATGTAGCACTGATTGCCAATAAACTTTACCCTTTTACTTAAACCTGTTCCTTGCCATTGATGCAGAAAGTCCATAATGTGTTCTGATATAATCCAGCTGTAACCTGCCATTTTCAAGAAATGGAACCAAATCTTTTGGGTGAACTTGCAGTGAAGAAACATGTGATCTGCTGATTCACCTTCGCTGAAGGGATATTCCCAAATACATTTTCTGTAAGAGATCACTAGTATTTACTTTCTGGAGACAAGCTTTCTAGACAAAGAAACAGACTCTTGAAGGGATGTGGATACACCAGATCTTCTTAAATGGAAAAGAGGAATGTTGTTCATCAGCAATCAAAACCTTGAACATAGACTTAGAAGAGAATTCGCCAGTAGGGTGAAGGGTCCAGATTTGGGTGTCAGAATAGGAGGGGGAGATGTAGGCTTCTTTAAGGGTCTGAATTAAGTCTATTAATTCAAAAATCTCTGGGTCCCTTAGAGGTCTTCTGAGTAGTTAATGGTTTAGGGTGTTCTCAACAGTTTGGTCTGGAAGGCAGGAAGAAATAGTGGCTTCTTGGTCAAGGGTGAGGTTAAAAGTCTAGGGAATGAGGCTGCAAGGGTAGTTTCTCCCCCACCAAAGGTCTTTCCAGAATTTTATTTTAGAACCATTTCCCACTTTATATCTTATAAAAGGAAAGAAAGAAGTATGGGTGGAGATGATACTTTTCTAGGGATTTGTGGACTTTACCCTGTTCAAATGGAGATTGCTATCCCACCCATTTACATTTGATCCATATTTGCTTGAGATGACAGCTGTTCAAAGAGCATTGGGTTCTTTAGGGAACCTCCACAGCCATTTACCTAAGAGAGAAGAATTTTTCTCTTTCAAGTGTCCAATTCCCAAACCACCTTCCTCTTTAGGCTTGCATACTTGTTTCCAATTGACTAAGTGGCTTCTATTTTCCCCACCTCCTTCCCAAAGAAAGTTCCTTTGAAGCTTCTCAAGCTGATTTCTGACTTTGGTTGGAATCTGGAAGACTGAAAGGAAATAGATTGGCAAATTTGCTAAGGAGGCCTTCAAGAGAATAAGCCTTCCCCCTTTTGAAAGATAACACTTCTTCGAAGATGCTAGTTTCTTCTCACATTTCTCCACCACCGGCCTCCAGAAGTTGAGAGGTTTTGGATTCCCTCCAAGAGGCATCCCTAGATAGGAATTAGGAAATAGGAAGATTCTCCTTTTTACACCCCAACAAAGATTTGAAGCTTTCTAGAAGTTCCTCTCCCACTGAGTTAAGAGCTACTATACTACTTTTGCAAAAGTTAACCCTCAAGTCAACGATAAGCTTGAAACATTCAATTATCCTTTTAGTGTTTTTGATGTTGGTTATGGAGGCATCCAAGAACAAATTATGTCATCAGCAAATTGTAAATGTGACATGTGAATCTTGTCCCTTCCCACTTCAAATCCTTTCACCAAATTAAGAAGAATAGCCTTATCAAAGAGATAGTTAAAGATGCCAATTACCAAAATGAATAGAAAGGGGGAAAGCGGGCAACCTTGTCTGAGACCCCTACTAGCAGCCTTGAAGTAACCTTTCGCTTCACCATTTATCAACACTGAAAACCATGAAGAACCAATACAGCCTTTAATCCACCTGATACATTTTCTACCAAAGCTTCACATCTTTAAGCAATTTAAAATACAATCACAATCCACTTTATCGTACGCCTTTTCCAGATCTAGTTTGACAAGGACCCCCGGGTTCCCAAAAGATTTTCTGTCTTCCACACACTCGTTTGCAATTAGAATGCAGTCCACAATTTGTCTCCCTTTTACAAAAGCAAATTGGTTTGGGGAAATTAGATCTTCTAGGACTTCTTTTAGTCTTCTGGCCAAAACCTTAGCCAACAAACTTATTGGTCTAAAGTCTTTAACTTCCAAGGCTCCCCCTTTCTTTGGGATGAGAAAGCAAAAATCTGTCAGTCGGCATAACTTATGACATTTTCTTGCATATTTGACCAGATGAAGAGTCCATTATTAAGGGGGAGGTCACACAAGTTGTGTCTAGAAATAAAATTAGAGAAGTTCCTCATACTTCTGATTGGGGCTCTTAGTTATTTAAAAGGCGCACCTAGGCGCACAGGCAAGGTGCATTTTGGGGTATGCGCCTCGCCCAGGTCCTAGGCGCACCCGTTTCAAAAGGCGCATTTTGGGGTGCGCCTAGGCTGCGCCTGATGCGCCTTGTGCCTCAGCCCAGGCATGCACCTTTTTAAAATTTTGCGCTTTTTGCCTTTTTTTGAGTTTAACAGTTGGGTCGGGGGTTCCGCCCCCGGACCCCCGGCCACGCCCCTTGAGGCAAGCCCAAACAAGCCTATGTTAGGGTTTCAAATTCTTACTTCTCACATTAAAAATAATGATTTTATAACTTTAATTGCCTTTTAAGAAGATATTTTATTAGAAAGAATGAATGAACAACATTAGCAATAGGGGGTTCTCGATCGGATTCAAATATCATTGCATATTTCCACAATGTCTCTAATTTTTACAATATTTCCCCTCGACATTTCTGACATATATCCTATATTTTGGTAAGTGACATTTCCATCGACATCGACATTTTAAACCTCTACTGGAAGGGGAGAAATAGAAGAATCTTCGATGGTATTGGAAGAATCATCAATGATTGTACGTGTCATTGGGAAACACGATATTGGATAGGATTATTCTACATCTAGAATTTAAAGATGTCCAGCGAAAAGCTTTTGGGTCATCCTTTTGGACCATTTTAGAACTGCATCAGGAAACCTTAAGTTATTGTATTAGTTCTCAAATGTTTTTATTGTAAATCTCTTATGGCATCTCACCACCCTATCGAAACCTTGTACCTTCTTTTAATATACTATAAAATTAAAAAAAAATGATGGGTTGGGGGTAAGCTCAGATTGGCCTTAACATGACTCCAGATGGAACCTATCATGGGTCAGCTTATTCTTACCCAAACCTGACCCTACCCTAATAAACATAACATAGAATCAATAGGAACATGCTTCCCACTATTTTGCCATTTCTATTTATTTGTTGCTGTATTATATGTCAACACTCTTGTCTAAATAGAGAGAAGAACAAGAATATAATCTTAGAGGTGTCAAGAATGAATGACCCCCACCTCAAAGAGTCTCTTATATATTAAAAGATATGTACAATTACAAGAATGCCCATATAGGGCTGAAAGAGAAAAGAAGAATAAGAAGTATAAGTAATGTACAACATCGCGAAAGTGTTCAAACCATGCCCGGGGAGCTTGTTTTAGACCATATAGAGATTTTTTGAGGCGACATACTAAAGAAGGATCACTACAGTATCCAGGAGGAGGCGTCATGTAGACCGTCTCCTTCAACTGACCATGAAGAAAGGCATTCTTCACATCAAGCTGGCATATGGTCCAAGATTGAGCAGCAGACACTGCTAAAAGAACACAGACTGTGGTGATCTTTGCAACAGGAGCAAAGGTTTCTTCATAGTCAATACCATACTCCTGACTATATCCCTGGGCAACTCAACGTGCCTTGTATCGATCAAGAGATCCATCAGACTTCAGCTTAATGTTGTAAACCCAACGACTCCCAACAATGGATGCATCTGGAGGAGCAGGCACAAGATCCCAAGTGTCATACTCATGTAAAGAATGAATCTCTACATCCATGGCTTCCTTCCAATGAGGGATACTATTAGCTTCCTGGTAGGAGCGAGGAACATCTGTGGAGGATAGGACAATAGACAAAGAGCTATGGTTTAAAGGAAAACCATAGTGGTCAGGAGGTCTAGATATACAAGTAGAACGACGAAGAGGAACAAAAGTATGAAGAGTGTCTGAAGTAGAGGTATCACTTACAGGAGCAGTGGTAGGATGATGATCTGAATTGGGAGGAAGGAGAATTGCAGGCGCAGGAGCTGGAGCACATAACCGCTTGCGAGAGAAGACGAGAAAGTCCTTCTCAGTAGGAGGTGGAGCATCCTGTGAATCAATGTTTGGCAAAATAGAAACTGATGGTGCAGACAGTCTAGCAATTCCAGCAAAAAATGAAAAGTGCTCAAGGAAAACAATATTACGTGATGTACGAATGTGACAAATAGAGGGATCATAACAAAGAAATCCTTTGTGGTCAGGACAACCCACAAAGGCACACATGACAGATTGTGTAGACAATTTAGAACGTTCACGAGAGGGAAGATGAACAAAGCACACACATCCAAAAACATGAAGCATAGATAAATCTGGAGAACGACCAAATAACTTCTGAAAGGGAGACATATTACCAAGAACTGAGGAAGGAATATAGTTGATCAAAAACACAGTTGTATTGGCTGCCTCTACCCAAAAGGAAGGTGGAGTATGGGACTCCTGCAATAATGTCCTCACAACACTAAGGATATGTCCATTCTTGCGCTCGGCCACGCCATTCTGTTGAGGAGTATATGGACAACTTTGTTGCACTTTATTCCATGGTCTTTCAAATAGGATAAAAAATCTCCATCAGTGTATTCTTCCCCTGAATCCGAACGAAGAATACACACTTGTGATTGAAACCGAACCCGCACCATAGCATGAAACAACTTAAATGTTGGGAACACCTCAAACTTGTGGCGAAGAAAGTATATCCATGTGTACCTGGTACAATCATCAATGAACGACACAAAATATTTGTATCTAAGCCGAGAAGAGACAGAAGCAGTCTAGACATCACTATGTATAAGCTCGAAGGGAGAGGTAGCATGCTCAGATATGTGAGGAAATGGTAAGGTACGACTCTTAAGCAACAAGAAACATAAGATGTATCAAAGGTGTGCAAGGAAGGAACTTTATTCTTAATAAGGCCTGAATCAAACAAAAATTTTAATTTTTCAGAATGTAAATGACCCAAACGTTTATACCATAAGTCCCAAACATTATTTCTATGACTCAAAAAGGAACTAGAAGTGGAGGAACTGAAATAAACTGATGATGTTGCTGTTTGAGTCTTCTCGAACTCCAATGCAAACAGACGACCCAACCTGCGCCCCTTCCCTTTCACCTTCCCAGTGTTCTGGTCTTGAATCAAACATCCAGCCTGAGAGAAGATGAGAATGTTACCTTCATCAATTAATTAGCAAACAGAAATCAAGTTTGTAGTGAGATTAGGAACAAGAAGGGTCTTGGTAAGAGGGAAAGATGCAGTGGGTGAAAGCTTAAGAGACAGATCACTACTACCAATGATGTTTAACTTTTCACCATTGGCAGTAACAATATGTTTGTGATGGGTTTTAGTAAGGTTACTTGGTTGGTTAGGGTAGGCTCTTGTCATGTGGTTGGTAGCTCCAGAGTCAATGATCCAAGTATGAGAAGAAGAAGCACAATAACCGGAAAACTCACCAGGTAAGCCAATAGCAGAAAGAGCAGAAGAAATAGCAGAAGTTACCAGTTGTTGAATGTTTTCCTCAACCATAGATTCCAGAGAATCACCTTTAACAAAAGAATCACCACCAATAGTAGATTTCTTACTCCCATGTGCTACAGTAGCAATGTCAATTCCATAGGTTGATCCTTCCAACTTTATAGGAATAATATCTTCTCTATTGGAGGCCATTTCAGCAAGAAAACAACAGTCCAGGCACAAGGATATCAGATACAACCAAATTCAGCAATCAAGAACTCAGGATGACAGTCCAAAAAATGCAAGTTTTAAGACTGTCAAGTCTAAAACCATTCAAACATGAATCTGAAGTCTGAATCAAATAAATGGGAAGCAAGATAACCCTAGGACGACACCAGATCTAGAGTTATAGGTTGATCGAGTCAGCCAATTGAGAGGAAATTGTGATTTACCAACACATCAGGCGTCTTTTTCAAGAATAAGGAGATATCTTGTGCTGATCGAAACAGTCCCTAGAAATCTCCAAACCAGAAACTGAGTGTAGGATTAAGAAGAGCTTGAGAGAATCCTTCAATCTGGAGAGAAAAACTCAAATCGCAGGCTGATGTAGAAGGCCAGAAGTCCAAAAAAAAAAAGAGTTACAGTCCAAAAAAGGAAATTGTACAGTGTTACAGCCCCAAGAAGAAGATCAGAACTCTTTCGAAAATTTCACCAAATCAGATGTTGTTTGTAGGTAGAATAGATCAGGCCTAGGTGACACCAGATCTGAAGTCCAAAGCTGTTGCAGTTCAAAAAAGGAAACTGTGCAGTGTCGCCACCCCAAGAAGATCAGAACTCCTTCGAAAACTTCACCAAATCAGATGCTGTTTGTAGGAAGAGTAGATCAGGTCTAGGTGACACCAGATCTGAAGTTTGGCCTCGAACCAATGTCTCACAAGAGAGATCTAACGAAATCTCTCCTGCTGGTTGCACAAAGAAGACTGAACAGAAAAGGGTTGATCAAAACAGCCCTAATATGACAGGATTACTGCTTCTAGTGAGTTTCACGAGAGAGAAAATAGATCAGAGAGCAACCTGCTCTGATACCATGTCAACACTCTTGTCTGAATAGAGAGAAGAACAAGAATAATCTTAGAGGTGTCAAGGATGAATGACCCCCACCTCAAAGAGTCTCTTATATATTAGAAGATATTTACAATTACAAGAATGCCCATATAGGGCTGAAAGAGAAAAGAAGAACAAGAGGTATAAGTAATGTACAACAAGGACTATACTAATAAGATAGATCAAGTTATAGAGTCTCCACATTATACCCCAACTCTTGCCTTATATAAAAGGAAGAGTTCAACCCCCTTTTTGGTTGTCTCCTAAATTTCTACATTCCACTTAAAGTTCTACCAAAGTATTTTTTCCTTTTGTGTCCCCTTTTATATCCACCCATTAAAAGGTTGATTCCAAATCCTCTATGGTTTCTGGATGATACTGGGCCACATCAGCCTGACATGTGAGACCCATGTGTAAGAAGCTGGTGTGGTTTATCATGATTGGCCCAGTAACATGAGTAGAATTAAAAATGTTTGGTTTGCTTAAAAGTTCCGTGTTTAATCTAACTCTCTTTCTCAGTTTCTCTCCCTCTCTCTCCACTGCTCTCCACCTATGTCCAACCTCTCTCTCTCTCTCTCTCTCTCTCTCCATTCTTTGTAACAGATTGTATGTCCAATGCATGTGCCATGTGGCTAGTAAATGTGAATGCCTGTGGACATGCGCATTAGAATATAGAACTCTTATGAGGATATGCTCATTATACATAATATAATAAACTTGCAACCCTGTTATAGACATGCTTCTTTAATTATTTACAGGTCTTTTAACTCAGCGTTATTAATCACACTAAGAGCAGCCTTGTTTTACATATCCATGGTCTATCCACCATGTAATCCTTTAGACATGAACTTTCAGGATTTCCTTGCCTTGGAGTCTTGCTACAAAAATTGGAGAATCCAGCACTTCGTTCATGCTTAAAAGTGCAATATAATGAGGTATATTTCTTTAGGTAACTCAAACTTATTATCGTTGTTGTTGTTGTTGTTAAGACCTCACATTACTGGGACAAGGCTTTGTTAAGCTGAGTGTTGTATTGTTTTGGATCAGTTATTGGAAGGCGGTATATTGGGAGGAGATAGAAAACATAGAAAAAAAGCTGCTCTGGAATGAAAAAAAAAAAAAACTTATCCCTACAGAGATACAAATTAACCCCCATCTTAATCCCTGCTAAGACTGTTAGTGATGAAGTTAATTGGCCTCTAGATCCATCTGAATGAGCTTTTCATTCTGGATGTAAAGCTTATACTGCCAAGTTCTGATGGTGTGGTAACCAGGAAGGCAGGAACCCTTGTAATTGTCCCACATCCAACCTATCACTGATCATTTGTTTGCATATCATAATTCCAATTCTTTCATATTTATTGCCCCCTTGACATGTCTGTTGCAGGGTGTACTGGTGCGGAGAGTTGAACCAACTTCTGATGCAAATAATGTTTTGAAGAAGGTATGCAAGCACTTAAATATCAAACTACATCTTGACATGCACGAGCCCTACAAGAATGGTTTGTGAAGATAATATGGAAGTATGTGTGCACGTATTTATGTATGTATGGGAAGGGTTAGGCCGTATTATGAAGTTTCCCTAGATGACCAAGTGAATTAGAATCTTCCAAATGGCAACTTAGCTTGGAAATCAAAAGGAGTCTCTGATGGGGATCAACTTAGGGCATATCAAAAGAGAAGCAAAGCTGCTCCTATGCTTATTTGGCATCATTATGATGATGTGGGGCTCACATGGGAGCTATGTTAGCAGTGGATCAACTTGGGATGACCCTAGAGTCTTCAATCCACCTTAACATGCTCTTTGTGTGGTTGAGTTTGCTGCTGGACAGGACTTATTTGACTTTCTTACATTTGGACAGCAAGGGTATTTTTGTAATTTTGCATGTTTAAGGGTTATGTTTGGGGACAAGTCTTAGTCTAGTAATTTCCCTTTATTTAGTTTTATGTTTGTAATTGTTTGGGGCAGGTTTAGTCTAATCTAGCTTCTTTTTGTAAGTGCCTTGTGCAAGCTAACTTGGAGGAGGGGCAAGTTTCTTCTTATTAAGCTTGTAAGGCTCATTTGAAGAACAGTTTTTGGTTAATGAACAAGTTTCTATACAGAATTTGGTGTGATTGCCTAGGGTTTTCATCTTATTTCCATCTCTTCTCTTTTTTCTCTGTTAGTTCTTTGTTTGTGCTACACATCTAGATATATGTTGGTTGCAAGAATAGTGCTGAATCACAAAGATCCTGCATCAGTCTCCCACGTTTAGTCCAAGAATAGCCTATTGTTCATTAGGCTAAACTCCAATACAAGGTTGGGTATAGGGCTGATGAACTGTGGAACTGCAGACATGGCCAATCATCTGGTCCCTATCTGATGGAAGGTTTGGATCTGCCACATGATCCCCCCATGTAGCAGAAATTGGTGGGCTCATGCATACATACAAACAAAAAACAATTGTGTCCTCTCTATTTCTTTCTTTTCCTTTTCTTATTTGAAGCTTTTCCATTATCTCTATGCCTCTGTTCCATTCATTTGGACTTGGGAGGATCAGCTTAGGTGCGGGTTGAGTTGGGCTCTGTTGATAATAGAGCCTGCCCTTTGCTATATTGTTGTTGAGCCCCATCATCTATTAGTCTGTTAAAAGGAAATTAAATGTTAATAGTATTCTAAGAATTATTACAATACTCTGAAAGTAATCTCTGCAGAGTATGTTTTTCCAGGGGGACGTGATTGTAAGCTTTGATGGTGTTCCTGTAGGGTGTGAAGGAACTGTGCCATTTCGATCAACTGAGCGAATTGCATTCCGCTACCTTATAAGCCAAAAGTAATGGTCTACAATCTCTATGCTAATAATTTCTCTGCACGTTTCTCAAGATTTCCACATTTATTTATTTATTTTAGTGGTCATGTGCATTTTTCAGTGCTGCAATAGAGATGCATATAATTAGCAAAAAAAAAAAAGAACACGGAAATGCATATTACTATAGCCCTTGGTGATAGATCTCATGTGGTACAGCAATGAAACAAAGTGTTTCAGCAGATAGATATAGGGGCTTGAAGAAAATATTCACTTGGTTTTACCCATAAGATCACTTTATTTATTTATTAATAAGTACCCACCCATAAGATCACTTATGCAAGGAATTAATCCATTTGGGTCATTATAAGTCTTATTCTGTGAAGTAAAGCTTAGTCAACATACAAAAGTAGTTAACTTTATGGCCTTCAACTTGAATGAGGACTTCATTCAAGTGGGCTAGGATATCAAGATCAGCTATTGTACTAGCTGATATATATCCTTTGGATTCTTCTAAGGTTCTGCTCTAACTAGGCTAACCATTGCACTAATTCAGTATCATTTTGAGTATGGGGCCACTGTTGTCCCTTGCATAGGGACTTGGGCCTGGTTGAACCGCCCTTGATTGGGCTATCTTCACACATAGACCTGTTCATGGGCCAGGCCGGGCTGGGCCGGGTTCAAGCCAGGCTTTGTCTCTATATTAACAGAATATACCTAGGCCCAAGCCCGAGCCCGGCCTAACCAGTGGGCCTAGGTCTTGAGCCCGAGCCCGACCCTTATATAAAGCCTAAAGCCTGGGCCTGGGCTTGGGCCCGAGCCCGAGCCCGGCCAGAAAATTGGAAAAAGATTTTTTTCTTTTTTTTATTCAATAAAAAACTGTTTTATTTATATTAAAAGACCTCAAAACCAAAAAAATAATGAAAGATCTCACTATTACTTGAAAAAAGATAAGAATAATAAAGAAAAAATATATTATATATATTTTATTATATAAATACATTATATATATTTTATTATATAAATACATTATATATATTTTATTATATAAATACATTATCAAGTTAGGCTCGGGCTGGGCTTCTTTGAGAAAGCCCGAGCCCGGCCTGAAAAAGGTCGGGCTCGATGTTTTAAGCCCGAGCTTGAGTCCATGGGCCTGATATCATGTCCAAGCCCGACTTAGATCAGGCACGGTCGGGCCGACCCATCGGGCTACCCAGCCCAATCACACAGGTCAGGCTAGGGATGTCAATGGGTTGGGTTAAATGGTAAATCCGACTTGACCCGACCCTATAGAGTCGGATTAGGTTTGGGCTTATTTGGGTTTATGGTCAGGTTATGGTTCCAATCCTTCAATCCAAGTCGGGCTTGGGTCTAATGGGTCATGATGCCCCTACATATTCTTATAATTTTGCATGCCTTCTAACCCTAACCTTAAAATTTTTTTTGATCAATAGTAAGAGAATTTTATTAGAGAAATGAAAAGCAGTACAAGGCTCAATGAGAGGTGTGAGGTGCACCCTCCCAAACTAAAAGCAACAAATTACAAAGAAGCCCAAAACAACTGATCCCTATTAACGTTGTTATGTTTCTTTTGGATTTTTCTTCTTTTACTGTGGAGGAAGTGACATCTTGAAACACAAACCAAATTTCAAGTTAAATTAATGACTATTGGGATTTAAAAAATATGTTACAAAAATACAATTGAAAGGCAATGCTTCAGGCTTAGAAAATGCTTGTTATTTAGTTGGGTCAGGTTGGGTTTGGGTTGAAATGTTGTAGGGTCAGGTTAAGGTTGCGGTGAACCCATGCAAGCCCGACATATTGACATCCCTAGGTCAGGCCCACAAAGGATGGGCCTGGCAAGGATACTCTAGATTGGGCTGCATCAGCTAAGTTGTGCTTAGGTGTATTTTGAGCACATCTACAAGGGTCTACAAAGTGGATAACCAGGATCTGTCCTAGACTTTTTTTTTTTTTTTGCTTCTAGCAATTTGTCCTAAATAGATGGGATCATGGGATTGGGTTTTAGCATGATTCTGTAAAAATTTGTATGGAGCATTTCCATTTCCCTTTTATCTACTCTCAATGATAGAGGCCTTTGAATCAAATGATGTTTGAATAATCAGGTTTTCAGGTGATGTGGCAGAGCTTGGTATCATTCGACAAGGGACTTTCATGAAAGTTAAAACAGTCCTAAAACCACGAGTGCATTTGGTATGCCCTTAGTAATTTCTGGTTAAGCAAAATGCATGATTTATGCCTCCTCTGTTTAATAAATCATAATTTAGTCAAATATGCACATTTCAATGTTATGGGTCTCTTAATGCCCTTTGAAGGTTCCATATCACATTGAAGGAGGACAGCCTTCATATCTGATAATTGCTGGACTGGTGTTCACTCCGCTCTCTGAACCACTGATAGAGTATGTTTTGCTGGATTTCTGCAACTTAGTGATAATTACCCTTTATAACTGTTTATATTCTTAATGTATTCTACATTTATAGCATTTCCCAGATGATTTTCAGGAAAGAAATGACATTTTATTTTGTTTTGTTTTTAACAGTGAGGAGTGTGAAGACACTATAGGGGTAAGTTCTACAAGTATCAATAATTCTTTGTGAAGGGTTGTTTCCGCCTTCTCTTGCTTGTGTATTTCATCATCATTTCTATGTATTGTCTCAAATGCAATAATGTCTTGTATGTTCAGCTGAAACTACTGGCAAAGGCACGTTACTCTTTGGCAAAGTTCAAAGGAGAAGAAATCGTGATATTATCACAGGTTATCTTCATGCCTTTTCTGTCAAGAAAATTGGGCAATATTGGTATTCACTCATCTGACTTGTGGGAATGACCAAATATTTTTGATCTATTAATCTACCACAGGTCTTAGCAAATGAAGTAAATATCGGATATGAGGACATGGGTAATCAGCAGGCAAGTCTTAACCATTTTTTAAACCTTTTCCCCCATTTATAAAACGAAGTGTTACTTGAGGTGACGAAAGAAAAACAATAACAGGTACTGAAGTTCAATGGGACACCAATAAAAAACATACGGCACCTTGCACATCTTATTGACTGTATGTACTCGTTGCCCTTATTTCCAACCACTTTTCCTTTTCTCCTTGAATTGTTCCAATGTTCTGAGTTGTCTTTGCTCCTGTGTAGCATGCAATGATAAATATTTGATTTTTGAGTTCGAGGACAACTTCCTTGTCGTTTTGGAACGGGAGGCAGCTGCTGCAGCTTCATCTTGCATTCTCAAGGATTACGGGATTCCCTCTGAGAGGTCTTCTGACCTCTTGGAGCCATATGTGGATCCATCAGAAGACAGTGAAGCAACAAGTCACGACCTTGGCGATAGCCCTGTCTCAAATTTGGAAATTGGCTTTGATGGGCTTCTTTGGGCATGAATAAGAAGATTCAATTTGCTTGATATTTTCAGGAATTCTGTTTTGATTCTGTTTTCGTGCAGCAGAATCAAAACCCCTAATCGGTGCCAGAGATATTGTGTGCTTTGGCGACATAATGAGCTATTCTTCATGCTGGTTGTAGCATTTTCTTCCCCATCTGGAAGAAGTTAGAGGCATGAATGTGCACAAATGTTCCTGCAGCCAGCTCCTTGAAAGTGGATATTACAAAGAAGCTGAAACCCTCGTTAGATGACCCTTTGAAATTTAATTCAGGCCAATCTATTCACAGTTGGGAGCATAAACTTCTAGCGAAGGTCTCCTGCTCCTTGGAAGCATTGTTGTATGAACATTACCAATCTTTCTATTTGGTAATTTAACAAAACAAATTTCCTATTTGGCATTTTACTAAAACAATAAGTTTCATTTTTCTTTTTTCTACATATCTGGTTTTTCTAATCAGCAAGGAGCGGTATTTGTATCAAACATCTTAATTCGTTTATTTTTGGTAAAATTGCTGAAACCTCCCCTGTACTTTGACAGGTGTGGTTCAGTACCCTATTTCATGCTAATAGCAACTTTCTGATCTACAACACCTCTCCATCATTTCGATGTTAGAATGTTAATCGAAATTGCTAATGTCATCATCTTAACATTTTTATATGTAAAGATTGAGAATATGTGGTTCTACACTAACCAAAATATCTCAATAGAGTCATCTATATCCTGTTTGAATAATGATAAAATTTTCAATATATAGAAAAAAAACATGGAAAATGACAAAAAGTTCATATATATATATATATATTTCAATAAAAAAATAGAAAATGTAGAAAATACATAAAATTCATAAAAAAAAACATTAACTTTATGAATTTTATGATCATAGTAGGGAAGGGCAAATTTAGAAGCCAGTTTACCATTCAAACGGTCAAAGTTGGGTATTTCAGTAATTTTGCCACTTCTATCAGCTCAAAATAATAGAGGGGCTGTAGATGCAACAATGTCACTTATCAATATCTATATATATAATTTTAATAATCAATTATATTTTAAATTTTTAATAAAAATCAATTAGACAAAACGTAGCAACATTATACGCTCTACATGCTTGAAACTAAAATAAGTATTGAATGTTGATACTTTGAACGTTGCTTGCAACCCATTGATGCAGGCTCCAGTAACCTTTTTATTAGGCATGTCAATGAGGTTAAATAAGAAAATTAATTAGGAAAGATATCTTATAAAGGCGTATCCATGAATAACAGGTAAATATAGAAATGAATTAGGAGAGAGATGTTTGAATTTGAATTTAAGAAGACCAAAACAAATAGGGAAAAAAATTCAAGCAATTCAGCCAATATGCTCAAACCTCAAAGCATCGGTTTGTATCAATCGATAATGGACCTATGCTAGTATATGGATATGGATAATAATATTGAGTTTCGACCATTCCACCAATATAGCATGCTTTATATAGAAAATATGAAAAATATAGAAATATATGTATGTTGATCGGTTTGGTTAACCGGATTTTTTATTCGATTTCGATCAATCTTTTGGTTTGATTCGGTTTTTTTATTTTTCTTGCTCACCCCTAACAACTCATGCCACTAATTCTCCCTCATCTCCATTATTCCATTAAATTGTATAAAATACATTAACTTTATCTATATATTGTAATTATTAGTAAAGATTAATTATATTGAAATTTAGATATTCGATTATATATTATTGTGCTAAATAATCTACTTCAATTTAAAATTATAATCCATTTATATTAATTACTGTTATTAATAAAAATATTTTTGTTAATATAATAAAAAGGATTTAATTAATAAAAGGAATAAGATAAATTAAAAATAATTACTAATTATTGTTATTGATAAAAATATTTTTATTAATATAATAAAAAAGATCATTAGTAAAAGGAATAAGATAAACAAAAAACTAATATTGGTTTAACATTAATATAAAACTAATACAAAATTATCAAACAATTATTAGTTTTATAATTAAATTTTATTAATTTAAAACCAACTTAAGTTCCATTAAAAAAATTATATAGATAATTAAATTTCATAAGCAATAAAAATTTAATATACTTAAATAAATTCATTTTTTACTAATTTACAAAATTAATAAAAATTTTAATTTCAAATATAGTTTAATTATTTTAAAATCAGTTTAAATTTCATTTAAAAATAAGGAAAATTATAAAAACCTCCTTGGGCTTTCTAACAATCCTATGAAACTCCCTAGTGTTTTGAGCTTAACAAAAACCTCGCATATTATTTTGAAAAAAGGTGCAAATACCTTCCTTACATCAGCATTCCAAATAAAAAATGTTGGCATAATGCATTAATTTTACTTCACTTCAGCCTTTTGACCTTGCTTTGTCCAAGAGAAGTAAGGAGAATTGTTCTTTGAAAGTTGTCTAGCAAAATAAATTAGTGGAGGATAAATTTAAAACTTAATATTATATATGATAATGCATAATAATGATGACTGGTGAGGGTATTTTGGTAACTTCAATATCTTTATTATTGAAAAGCCAAGGGAAATGAGGTATTTGCACCTTTTTTTTTCAAAACCATAGGGGAGGCCTTTGTTAGGGTCAAAACACAAAGGCAACTTATAGAATTGTTATAAGAGGATTTTTTTTATAATTTTACCTAAAAATAATAATAAATTAATAAATATTCTTTTCAAAATTTTAATAAAAATTAGCATTAAGATACAAGGAAAACACAAATTTATATAGGGAATAGAAAATTGGCCACTCTCACTAAAGCACCACTTAAATTGTGATTAGATAAACTAGACATAGCCCCAAAAAATGATACTTGAATTGAATTTAGATGGACACCATTTAATTAGAAATGTCATAGAGTTACATCTTCAATTTTACTTGAAAATAAAGCCCATGCATCACATGGGCCCTGACTAGTTTATATTTATTTCTTTTCACATCCAAATCCATCCAAATTATTCAAGCATATCCTATTGTTCCCCAAGTACACGTGGATATTCCATATGGATACTTTGAAACTCATGGCCGGACCAAGCCTTGGTTGGCCATGAAGCTATATTACGAAATGGCCTCAACCACTCAAATGAAAGCAACGAACAAATTTATTCTTGCTTGACTTTTTTTAGGGCTGCCAATCTTGAACCCAACCCATTTGACCCACCCACCTTGGAAACCACCCATACCCACCCAATCTATTGGCGGGTCAAAATGGGTCGAGTAACCCATTAAGATCAGTGAAAAAGGGACAAGGTGGGTTGGATTGCACAGATCAAAATGGGTTGAGTCAAAGTCAGGTCCATCTATACTCGCAAAATCTCAAAAAAAAAAAACAACAGTTGAAGTGACACGAACTCATACCTCTTAACGTGTTTGCATCTCATTACAATTCTAAACCACCATGCCATATTTCATTTTGAGATTAAAAGTGAAATAAAATAGATTTTATTAACTTTCATGTTCACATGCAATTTTACACAAAAACAATTTTATAGAGTAATTTTATGAAAAGGACTTTTACGAAAGCACTTTTATGAAATTACTTTTACAAAAGCACTTTTACATGAAAACACTTTATGAAAGTACTTTTACAAAAACACTTTCATGAAATCATAAAAGCACTTTTATAAAAGTACTTTTATGAAAGAATAAAAGAACTTTAACACGAAAGCACTTTTACAAAAGTACTTTTGCAAAAGCACTTATATAAAAGTTATTCTTTTTTTGAATTTTCTGCTATTTTTTGCATTTTTTGTAAATTTTTATATTTTTATGCATTTTTCACAATTTTCTAATACTTTTCTACATTTTCTAAAATTTTATGGTATTTTTTTGCATTTTCTACAATTTTTTGGTGCTTTTCTGCATAATTTTTGCATTTTTATGGTGTTTTTCATGCATTTTCTGTATTTTTTTTGTATTTTTCTGAATTTTCTATAAATTTTTAGTACTTTTTTGCATTTTCTACTATTTTCTGCATTTATCTACAATTTTTGCATTTTTGGGTATACGAGTTAACCCGACTCGTTTTTGTCACGTGACAGTCTTGAGAGAGATTATTCTCTCAAAAGTTATTATTTTAGGTATACAAGCCATTTCAATCAATTTTGTATTTATAGGTGAGGGTAGGTGGGTTAGTACAGGTGAGGGTGGTTAAGGGTCAATATGGACGAGTCAAATGGATCAATATGGGTGGGTCAGGGTGGGTTAGGGTTAGGGTGGGTTATGACCCTTTAACAAGGATTGATGATGAATTGATGTATCAATATGGGTGGATTGGTATTCAACCCTTACCCAACCATTTGCCACCCCTACTTTTTTTAACACACACTCACTCACTCTCTCTCTCTCTCTCTAACTTTTTTTTTATCAAACAAAAACTTTTATTAATAAAAGGAGATGGAAAAGATACAACAAGAAGGGGTGGGTGGGGGTAAAATCTCTTACCCCACCCTAAAAATAAAACATCACATTACAATACAGCCCAAAAGAAACTAGTTCTTCCCACCACCCAACCATTTGCCACCCCTACTTTTTTTAACTCTCTCTCTCTCTCTCTCTAACTTTTTTTTATCAATAACAAAAACTTTTATTAATAAAAGGAGATGGAAAATATACAACAAGAA